TAATAATAATAATAATAATAATAATAATAATAATAGTAGTAGTAGTAGTAGTAACAATAATAATAATAAAAAGATTGAATATAGCCGCTCACTTAAGTGGAGTCTGAGCAACTTACAAAATATAATACTACATTAAAACAATTAAAAACATAAACAAAACAAACAAGCCAGCTCGGACTAAAAACAACCATGAAAACGCAGCACAACAGCACCCTGCAACACATTAACCCCAAGCCTAGGACCAAAGCCAGGTTTTAAGGGTTTTTTGGAACCCCAGGAGAAAGGGGTCCCTCCGTCTCTGGTGGGGATGCTGTTCCAGAGGGCGGTGCCGCAGAAGAGAAGGCATGCTTCCTAGGTCCCTTAAGATAAATCTTGCCAATGTGACTGACGTACAATCCGCTTACTTTATTTCAACTATAATCCTAAAATGTTTGGAAGGATAATCCAGGCATCACAGAATGATGCATTCCTCCTACTGAGATCTGTGAAATTTGAACATGGAAGGGAAAACCCAGACTTCAGGTCCCTCCCTGGAAGCTTCTTGGGGTCTCCATGGCTATTTCCTTTGCATGTCAAAATAGGGAAGACTAGGTATAGTTAAATCCAGTGTGCCCCTAAGCAGTGCCAAATCTATGCCAGGTCCGATTGTAAACTAACTGTTCTCATCCCATCAGGGTTGTGAATTTCAAGTCAAATTACTTTGTGAATTTTAAACTCCTTTACTTTTGTCTGACTGAACTATTACAAAACAGTGATGGAACTTCCGTGCTGGCTATGCGTTTCATATAACTACCTCCCCAAAACAAAGCTATTTGTCCCAGTGAATTCCCCCCATAAGTGGTCAGTCTCAGGGGGATCCAGAGAATCTTTTCCCCACTCATCTTGATGAACTACTAAAGGGCAAGAGAGAGAAGCTTACCTCTGCAGGCTTAAGTGCAAGAATCGCTGAAACAATCTCAACTGCTGTAGCTAGTAACTTGTATTCTCTTATTGCCAGGACTCGAGTGCTGCATATCTCATGAAGTTTTTGACAGACAGAAGCGGAGCAGCTCCAATCATTTTGCTGAATTATACTGAATTGTAGAAAAATTACATATTTTTGCAATTAAGAGACACCAGAAATGCACATTAAAAATACACATAACAAAAATGACTCAGAATGCAAAGCGATACTTGCAATGAAAACTTCACTGTATAAGCTTAGTTCATCTATGAGCTTATAAGGAATGTAAAATACTTCTCTTCATCTTATTAAATGCATTTACAATACTATTTATATATATATTTTCATTTTTATATGTCAGGTTTGTCACCGTCCATCTAATAGTACCAATATTAGGATACTTAAGTACATGGCACCCCATCATTGCACTCATTTTGCAAACTAGGAGTTCTTCTTTAGAAGCCATTTTGTGAATGCAAACACTACTCACAAAATTCCAAATATGTTTCAGGACTGGAGAACTGCCTACTATCAAAGTTAAGCCTAAAACAGAGGCCTAGCAAAATACAGGTAGT